GAGGCAATCATGAATTATAAATTTAAAAATTAATAAAGAAATAATTTTTTTATATAGTTCATGTGTTCATTTCAAATTGTAATATATATATATATATAAATTTTAACACAAAATAACTTAATATTAAAAAAAACTATTTAAATAATTCAGGCAATTCGGGCGGGCTCGGGCCGCCCGGCCGAGCTCGGGCCGCCTAATACAAGCCCACGGCCCGTTCAAGGTGAAATTTGGGCTCGGGCGGGCGGCCCGAATTTCTCGGGCGGCTCGGGCTCGGGCTCGGGCTCGGGTAAAAACTCAGGCTTTTCGGGCGGTCGCGGGCGGCCCGTCTAAAGTTCCAGCACTACTGACGGCTAGCAGCTCGTTTCGACAGCCGATTATATGATACAATCCAATTCTCTGACATGTGTATAATGAGAAATGAGGAATTATTACCATATTATCGATCAATTGACTAAAACTGCGTACAAGTATTGCCTCAAGTACTTTCGCGAATGAAGCAAATATGAAGGTGCAACTCTGTTTATTTTTTTAAATTGCTCTCCACCTCATTTATTCGGCAATTTAAATAATTACAGAGTTAATTAATTTCAGTACTTAATTAGAATTAATGCGATCCTTGTAGAAACAATATTTATACTTATCACTTTATTACTTATTAGTGATATTATACATATGTAATTTTTATAACAGTATTAACTTTAGACTATAGATAGAGTTTTTTAAAAAAAGTACAATATTACATATCCTGTGAGAGAATGATGAATAAAGAATCCGTTTAATTTGTTAATTTAAAATTTTAATTTAAATTAAGATGTAATTTTATGTAAATTTTTTTTATTATAATAAAAAAGTTAAATATAATTATTTTTTAAAATTTTTTATTATAATAAAATTTAAATTTTGACTTTGAATCGGTAAAATGATTGTTATATATTCGTTGTTCTGCTTTTGTCTTTTTAAAAATTTGATTTCTGGTTATTTTAATATGACTCCGATCATTTCGCTGATTCGAGTTTTGTTACAGTAAAAAATTCTCACAAATAATTACATCTAATTTTTTATTACAGTAAAAAATTTTCACATAAAATTACATTTTAACTTGAATTAAAAACTCAAATCAGCGAACTAAACGAGCCATAGTGTATTGACGGAAGTTTATTCACCTATCCATAATGAATAATGATAGCCTACAGGTCTAAGAAAGCTTTTAAGTCTGATAGCCTGCCCCTATTGTTATTTGGCCCTCCGTATATAATATATCTATTATTTTGTAAATTTTATTTATTCGGACTCTTTTTTTCAATCGAGTAACAATCTATTTTAGAATTTAAAAAAAAAAAAGAAAAAGAAAAAAGAACTCTATCCACAAAGACATGCCCATTTCTAAGCAGGTTTTAGACACGTGTCATTATCTCATTCACAGAATGTATAGTCATCTTGGAACTCCCAAATCAGCCACTGGCCAGCGTCCACTTTGGTCTCTCAGATACAGAAACCAACCTCACTCTCTCTCTCTCTCTCTCTCTCTCTCTGTCTGAACAAGAAATGGCCGTAGCTCAAGTCTTCGCCTCTCTCCCCCTTTCCATCAGAGGTACTTTCTCTCTATCTTTGCCAATTCTATTCATAATAATAATAATAATAAAAAACGACATTGGATTTGGATGGAACTTTCTCAAATTACGATGCTACGTCTGCAGATGTGTGCGCTATTACCTCCTTACCAGCTCCTTCACGCCTTCCCCTTTCCAACTTTGCTCGAACCAGCAGGACCGCCTTTGCAACCGGCTCTCCCCTCGGTAAATTTTCTCATTTTATCAAATTAAGGTTCGTCTCGCTGATTTGAATTTAAAATTTAAATTTTATTAATTAAATTTTTTATTATAATAAAAAATTCTCACACAACATCACATCTTTAATTTAAATTAATAAATTAACGGGTTATAACAAGTTATTTTTTCTTTCTCTTTTATGCTTGTTTTCACTTCTATGTTTAAATATTTTATTTCTGTGCCTCCAACTACCTCAGAAAATTCGAAATGCAATATGCCCTGCTGGTTTTACGCACTGTGGTGTTATAATTAGAACAATTTGGAAGTGGGGTCTTTTTTTTTTTTTTTTTTTTTGCGTGTGGCATTTTCTTTGTTTCTATGACAGCAAAATGAGTTTTTAGGACTGTAAATAAGTTCGAGTAGATTGGAAAGTTGCACTTTTGAAATTATTTAGGTGTTCACTAATTAGATTGTGTGACTCTGAGTACGTTAAATTAGGAAAGTCAGCCTCCAAATGTAGACTTTGATACCTATTTGTTATCATGATTAACAAGGAACCACTTTGGCTTTGTACCTAGTAGTTGTTGTCTATTGATATATCTTCTTCTTCCATGGTGTAAAAGAGTTAACAAAAATTACAAAAAAAATAAAAAAAGAAACCTGACGATATGTTACAATGACAATCTGTCTCAATTGCAAGTATTTAGTGTTACAAAATGAAAGCAAAAGGTTTTTCTGTTTTCATGTAAAAACACCATTTCAGTTATTGAATTATTTTGGATAGCTTGTTGCCGATGATCAACAGAAAAGTTATCTGATAGGCCGTGTCATTTTATGAAGAGGTTGTGTTATTTAGGGGAAAAAAAAAAAAAAGGAAATCAAGGGTATTGGTCTAATGTACACGTGTGTGTGTGTGTGTTTTTTTTTTTTTTTTTTTTTTTTGGGATGAAATTGTATGTTACCTTTCCTTTTAGGCTGTTTGAAACTGGATGCCCGTTTTGGTTACTTTCCTCTTTGACTGCGTCCCCTCTCAAATTGTGACAAATTGTGGGACTTTTAAACATTCGAATCATCATCTCCTGTTTCTCAATATTCTTCGTAACAAAAGCAGGGCACATAATTATCATTTAGTGGAATGAGTCTTCTGCTTTTGTTTTCAGTATTACGGAGGACTTCTTGTCAAAGGAAGACTGCACGCAAAGCAACACCATTTCCAATAAGATGTGAGCAAAGTACCGAGGAGAGCAGCAGTTTGGATGTATGGCTGGGCCGACTCGCCATGGTTGGGTTTGCGGTGGCTATTAGTGTTGAGATAGCAACCGGAAGGGGACTTCTAGAGGTAAGGGGCATCGACATAGTATCGGCTTTATTCTCAAGCCAATGAGGCTATTTGACCATGGTTTTGAGTATTAAAGAATCTGATTTACAATCATTAACGCGATCGTATGTTCTTTGGGATTGTGCAGAATTTTGGGCTCACAACACCCCTTCCTACTGTTGCATTGGCTGTTACAGCATTAGTGGGAGTTCTAACAGCTGTTTTCATCTTCCAGTCGGCCTCAAAAAATTGATCAGATTTTATAATGTTTTGCAGTGTTTGTATAGCTTATAGTTCTGACAAGTTTCAAAATTACATTTTTGTCAGTTGTTGTAATCTCTCGGTGCCAGCAATGGCAGCAATACTTGAGTATGTAATGTTGATGACATCTATATTTCACGACAGGGCTTTACCTCTGCCGTTTCTTTCAATTGAACTTTCCTGTTGTAATGGGTCTTTTCTCAATGACGATATGTTTTTGTTGCATACTCTTGGATACCGACTTGATAAAGGCATTGCAGAAGATGAAAAAGAAGAAAGCAATGGTATCTAAAGCAACAACTTTTTGAACAGATTGGTTGATGACCATACTTGAACTTGGGGGTGGCCTCTGTGGCTTGGGCTTTGAAGAAGGGCATGAGCTCATCTCTTAGGTGCGCCCACACAGATTCATAAGGACTCCTCGAAGTAAGGGCCCATAAGTAGTGTTTGGGTGGAGTCCATAATCTTTTTGAGGGGTGTTTAAAGGATTTAGTTGCATCTCTTCTATCTATTGTAATTTTTGGAAGGAACAGTCGTGTCACTCCTACATCGTTAATTTTCAATATTTGGGAAGGATCTGATCAATAATTCAATATTGTGGTAATAGTTTGAGGAGTATATTTTAGTTTATTATCTAGGTGAAGAGACAAAAGTGTACACGACTTTTTTCAAAAATTCAAAGGCACTATTTTTTACCCTCAGGAAACAATCCGACACAAATTTGGCAGTCCACAACTGGTGTTATATGAGGCCTTTCATTGTGATAGAAACAACAGTTTCAAGTTAAAAAGAAAACAACGACCTTTTTCCCTTTGTTCTGTAAATAGAATTGATTCTATTCTCCTTTTTGCCTAAGCCATTCACCAATGGTCCAGCTGGTGTTTGCTTGGAACTCAAGATATCTCTTTCTGCAGTGTTTCATATATTGCTGCCAACTGTTTATAACCTTTCTTATATTTTTCATCTTCATCAAAGTAGACCATTTTTAAAAAAAAGGAATTTTCTTCTCTGTTGTAACTTTCTTTCTTGGTCTTTTTTCGTTTTGTGAAATGGGAGGAGCCGTTTCTCGATTGGCAAAGAAGTTGTTCCCAAAGAATCAAGTGAGGATTGTGATGGTGGGTCTTGATGCTTCTGGGAAAACAACCATTCTGTACAAGCTAAAACTGGGAGACATTGTCACAACAGTACCCACAATAGGTATCTAAATTCTAACTCATAAACGCTTCCTTTGAAGAAGTTTTTGGCTTGTGTATGCAAAATGGAAATTTTCACCCGGTCTTGAATATTTCGAATTGAAACGACTCAAACAGGGAAATTGAACTTCTGAGACGGAACAACATGAATTTTATGTTTCCAAGTAGCAATCTGAATTTTCATGGAACAGGTTTTAACGTGGAGACGATAGAGTACAAGAACATTAGCTTCACAGTCTGGGATGTGGGAGGACAAGATAAGGTACTTAAAACTCGATTTCTCTTTTCTGTATTCTATAATTTTGCATACATACCTCTTAGACCTTCAATGTTTGATCGTTAGTAAGAGTTGTTCATGATCAATAATGAAGCTGTTCTCTTTATTTTCTTTGGAGAAATCTGATTCTCATCAACACCACACAAGCACACATATCTATATACATATAGATGCATACATGTGCGTGTCCACATATACATATATACTCGTATAAAAGAATGCATATATGCATTATATTGGCCATATATAGTCAGAGAGATGCGACCATTGTATTTGTGCTGCATTTTTCAATTTTGTATTTTAAGTCAAAGGAAATGCACCACCCTGGTTGCTCATGTTCCTCTTACAGTCCTTTCAGTATGAGGCCCGACAACATAATATGTAGTTATGAAAATATAACTTGATATTCATTACACATAACATTGATGTAATATAAAAGTAATATCAACGAATTTAGTCATCTAAAGTCTCTTCACGTCAATGTTACAGTTAATAATTGTCATGTTACGTTGGAAGTACTGTCCTTCCGGAAGGACCGAAGAAAAAACCCATATATATATATATACATTTTTTTTTTTTCTTTTTCTTTTTTGCTAAGGAGTGTTTGTCCACGCCGATCCTTCTCTTTCTTTGGTAAATAGAGAAGATATATATAAGAAGATAAGGGAGATCCGCAGTTATTGTAACTTGGATATTGATAGACAGCTAAAATAAATAGTTATGTTCTTAATTGAACAGATAAGACCATTGTGGAAGCACTACTTTCATCACACGCAAGGACTCATCTTTGTGGTGGATAGCAATGACAGAGAGAGAATCTCAGAAGCCCGTAGTGAGCTACATCGTATTTTGAATGAGGTAAGCTTGGCATAATAATGAATTGTGTGTTAGGATATACATTGTATTTCTAAATATCCTCCAAGGGCCTTGTTTCGTGATTCCTTTTCTTAGTCTAAAATGTTTTCTACAAGTATATTAGACACCGAAAACATTTACAATGGAGCCAGCTATTTTGCTCTACCCGCGAGGATAGTTGTTTTTAACCGTTGAATTAATTTTTTAACGGTCAAAATTTATACAAGTCCGTCCGGTCACACAGAATTATTCCTGCTGCATATCTGATCGTTAAAAAATTAATTCAACTGTACAAATACAATTCCCACCGGTGGAGCAAAATAACGCGCTCCACCGTAAAGACTCTCTTAAACACCTATTGTTGGAAAAACTATGAATTGTTTTTCCTTCTTTCTCTTTCTCTCAGAATGCCGAACTAAGCAATGCGGCACTACTCGTCTTTGCCAACAAAAAGGACCTTCCAAACGCCATGTCTGTTTCAGAAATGGCCTACATGCTTGGCCTGCACTTACTCAGTCACCGTCGCTGGTATGCATTGGCTTTCAATCATAATGGAACTTTCATCTAAAAGCCAATGAGTAGGCAATGGAGACAGAAAAAGAAACCAAGATTCAATTCTTGAAACTCTAAAACGAAAGCCAACTTTGAAGAAATTTAACTTATTTCACTCTTTTCTTTGACTTGGTTGGGTATTCAGTTTGATTGGTTTTGGTACCTTTTCTACTACAGGTACATCCAACAAACTTCTGCAACTTCTGGGGAAGGACTCTATGAAGGTCTTGACTGGCTATCTAACAATATTTCTAACAAAGCAGCATAATTTAGGATCTTGTACAGCTCTTTCTGCTTAGTGCATTAGGGACTGCCAGACTTTTGACAAACATTCAATTCAAATCCAATAAAGCTTTTGTCAACACGTTGAATCATAACTGGAACATGAAAAGAACAAAATCATTTGACTAAAAAGAAAGGGTTTAGAAAAAAATGGTTGTAGAAAATGGGGTCTACGAAACCCTAGTTACAAACTTTTTTACTTGACCGAACAGAAGAACGAATTTCATTGCCAAAATTTGATCATTGGATTTCTATGTCTCTTATATGAAACAATATTGGCTCACCAAAGTGGTTAGATAAAAACCATTTGTCTGTCAAATTACATATCCATAGATTCAGGTCCAGCTGAAGCCTTCGATTTCTTATTCTTTTTCTTTGGTTTCTCATCAATAACTGGCTGTGTGTTCAGCAAATGTTGATGGATGGCAGCCAGAGGATCCGACTGGAACGCAGGATGATTAAGAACTGCCTTCAATTGGTTTGTTTCTTTCAGTCTGAGAAAAAATCGAAATCATCCAAGCACAAGTTTTAATAATAATAAACATTAAAAGGAAAACTGCAAATGAATTAAAAATGCGAAAATACAAACACACATTAGTTTTTGCCTCGATTTGCAATCCAGCTTAAGCTTCTTGGGAGTTGGTTGCCGAGGAGCCTTTACATCTGGAAGGAACTCTGAAAGGGAAGAGAGATTGTATGCTTTAAGTTTCTTTTGTCGGCTACGGAGGTTCTTCTGTCGAAACATAAAACAATTTTTTCAATATACCTGTTGAGCAAATTCTAATGACAGTAGCTAGGAATGATAGAGAAAGAATATCACGACATAAAGAACAAAATTTCCACAAGAAAGAAACACAAGAAAAATGCAACTTTAACAATATCTACTTAGAATTAGCAGGCAAAGAAGTATTAATCGCATCAGTAAACAGCTAAAAGCTTCGCTACAGAACATAAGATATCAAAACAAGCTTCAAATCTCTAAGAAAATCAAGACTCCAACATCGCGATGCGTCTTGCATAAAAATCACAAATCTTCACAATTATACATCCAAACTAACCACAGAATATGCGAGTTATGCTTATCGAGTGTTTGCAGTACTGGAGCTCAATTACCACCCTAACACAGAGTTAGGGCGCGGATCAATATCTACAAATGAGCGGAGATTTTACATTGAGAGTGAATCACTATAAATTTTTAAGAAATGCTAGCATCAATCTTTCTGTACTCTCTTTGTCACTATTTATTCATTATTTGACATATGACTCCACTTTCTCATTTTCTATTTAAATAATAATATATCATGTTAGTAAAGTCCGCATGTCAAATAGTGAATGGAGAGAGTGACAAAGAGAGTAACGAATGAGTGATGCTAGCATTTATCATAAACTTTCTTCTCTTTATTTTTATTGCTCCTGTAGTAAAGGATTAGGATGCCTAATCTAAAAGTCTAGGAAAAATAAGGTTCTGAACTCAAAAACATCCAGATCTAAATACAAATGAAAACATTAACTGATAAATTATGGTCTTGTTCATTTCACCGATTTGAGTTTTCAATTCTAAGTTTCTAGAGTTAAAAACTCTCAAGAAATATCACATCTATTTCATCTGTATAAAAACTCTCAGAGAATGTCACATCTCAGCTCGAATTAAAAACTTAAATTCGCGAAGTGAATGAGGCCCATGCATTAAGTAAATTAAAACAAGAGTCTGACCTTGGCAATAGTCTTCTGGGCAGTCAAGGAAGCAACAGTATCTCTAACCTCTGCATTGTTTATTTAGGAATAAACCCAAGTAAGTTAACACATCAAAACATATAATTTGGATACAGTTAAGCCTGTAAATCTATTCATTAATGATATCACTACGAAAATTAAAGAATACCCAGTACAGAACAGAATGGACAGAGTCATGAAATCCAATGCAAAAGTAATTTAAAAAGAACCAAACTCACTGGAGTAAAACTCGAGCTTCTTCTCAAACTTGCGATCAGCTTTGGTCGACGACTCTGGCCTAAATAAATTACAAACCACAAATAAATATCACGAAGTTTAGCAACATATACATACATGTCAACACACACACACATATATATCGGTGGCTTGGTAACCTTACCGTGAGCCTGGCTTGCCCATCACTGCAAAGTTTCAAGCTTAAAGCGCGCGTAAATATCAGAAATAATTTAGGGTTCCGGGAGAGGAAGAGAGAAAACCAAACTCGCAAAAAAAAAAAAAAAAAAAAAAGAAGAAGAAGAAGAAGAAGAAGAAATAGTAGAAGAGAAGAGAGAAGGGCTCGCGCGAGAGCCTGGCGGCGGAAGGGCTTGACGGTGTCTCTACCCTTGCTCGTCGTCCGATCCACGGAGCAGATTGACGGTGGAGGAGAGGAGATTGACCGAGGTTGCAGATAGAGAAAATAGGAGGGGAAGTGTTTTCCCTATTTTATTTGTTTATTTATTTTTTATAACAGTGCTTTCCTGCTTAATTAATAATAAATATTGACTTATAATTTAATAAATAAAAAATTAAATGAAAATAAATTGACATGAATAAAATTATAAATTCTTTTATGAGTCTTTCTCAGTACATTATTAGTCAACCAAAAATTGAAAAATTAACTATATCACTTGCTAGTGATTAAACTAATAAACTACGTATGATTTACTTTATTTTAGGCCTCGTTCATTTCGCTGATTCGAGTTTAAAATTCAAGTTTTGCTACAGTAAAAAGCTCTCAGAAACAGTCACATTTAACTTTTTTGCTACAGTAAAAAGCTCTCACACAAAATCACATCTCAACTCGAATTACAAACTCAAATCAGCGAAGTGAACGGGCCCTTAGTATATCACTGATTACTGATAAAGTATAATTTATTAGTGATAAATTATAATTTATGATTAATAAATTGCAATTTATCAATGATTTTTTGAGCTTATCGATCATTAATTCAAATTATCAGTGATTAATTCGAGTTTATCAGTAAAGTTTGGGGTCAACTTTTTCTTTTTATCTTTAAAAATGATATGTTTCAAACATTCTCGCATAACTAATATATATATAAATTAAATAGCAGAACCACATAAGCGCTATTTATCATATTCATCTATAAATAAGTGACAAACTGGATTGGCTCTTTTATCAAGTTGATAGGCTCAATTCGAGAAATTTAAAGAAGGGAAAAAATTAAAAATATCACTCCATATAGTAAAAATGTTATTTACGTAATTCTAATAAAAAATAAACCATTGTTATTCGATTGATAAATAAAAAATAAAAGTCAATTGCACCAAATTATTTAAAATGACAAAAATAATAAACATTCACAAAATCAAGACAAACTATGTACTTTTCTCTTTAAAAAAGAAAAATCAAAAGAAATTACATGGCATGCTTTCGAAATTTAAGGGTTTCATATTTTCGTTACTGAACCAGTGTCGACTCAAGGGCTACGCAACTTAGGCAGTTGCCTAAGGCCCTTTGAGTCATAAAGGCCCCATACTTTTCACCACATTGTAGAAGTGTCAAAAAGGTCATGCCAGCCTAGCATGACCCTTCTAACCAGAGGCCCGTCATGAGCCTAGGCCGGCCCAAGCACGGCCTTTCTGACCCCAGGCCTGTTATGGGCCTGGGCCGGTCCAGGTACGACCTTCTACAGTAGAGGGCCGGGCTTGACGGAAGACCTTTAGGCCCAGCCCTAGCCCTTGGCCGAGCCCATGCTCTTATGGGCTGGCCCTACTAATGGTCTTGTAGGACCTTCATAGGGCTGGCCCTTTAGGACTTTATTAGGCCGACCCTACTAAAGGCACTATTTAACGGTCCAATTGATGGTCGTTGAGCATGCACCAGTCGACCGGTAGAGGCATCATTGATCGACTGGTGGCTTATAACTTCTCTGCTACTAGACGACCTAATTACATTGGATTCCCCTCACAACTCTATTAACCTAATTTTCTTAATGCACTTGAGTTTCACTTATGATGAACAATTTTTTTAGGATTTTTTTTATAATTTCATATTTGATGACAAAAAAAAGTAATATATCATATGCTATTGGTGCAAGGTTGAATTTTCTCATGTTTTGATGATAGCAAACACAATTTATTATGTTACTAATGATTCTATTTTGAGTTGTGTATGTAATATAATTGATATTTTAAATCAACTCAAGAAGCATATTGTGGAATACAATGAAAATACATTCAAGCTTGAGAAATGCAATTAAATTGAAGAAGAAATTCAAGGCTTGAAGTTTTGAAATACCAAAGATCAAGAGCAAGCAAACAAAATCAAGAAAGACAAGTTTTAATAGGTTTTTATCTCTTCTTAGTCTTGTATTTAATTTTGACATCATGCTATCAATGATGAATCTTTGTTTAGGCTCATGCACGCACTCACATTATTCTTTTAAAATGAGACTAAATTAAGTGCATAATGAAAGTTGGCTTAAAAATGCAATTTTGTGAAGGTTTGAGGTTAGTGTCAACCGGTCGACCTATATCGTTCGCTGATTGAGCAGGTAAAATCTACCGGTCGACCGGTGGTGCCTCAACCAATTGACCGCTCCGGTCGACCGGTGCTGCTCAACAGGCATTTAATTTGACCGTTGAACATCTAGAATTCAAAACTTGCCTCAACCGGTCAACTGCTCCGGTCGACCGGTTTTGTGCAACAGGCAAAAATAAGTCCGTTGGACAATGAGCTTAAACCGTGAAAAATCACTTCTTTCATTTATTTAAGACATTCAAAGGTTTAAAAATATTAGCGAACATATTGAGAGCTTCCAAATTTCTTAAAATCTAAAAAGTTTCTCAAAAGTGCTTACATAATCATCATCTTCTCAAAATCCTTACTTGATTCTCTCACACATACTTGAGCCTAGCTTGGATTCTCTTTTGATAGTGTAATCTCATCATCTCCTAGTCATTTTAATTGTGTAAAACATTTGTTAGGAGTGTATAACTGAGTACTTCACTATTAAACACTTTGTAATCCTTACTTTGGTATTGGACTTCTTGGTTGGTCGATCTCTGTAGAAAATTGACATTGTGTAAGAGGTCAGACAAAGTCTTGGGTAGAAAGATTTGTCGTCTTGTAAGATGAGTGATCATGCCAGAAAGTCGATCGTATAGTGGAATAGGTCGAGAGGCGGAATATCTCGGATACAATAGATGTAGGTAAATTTATTTGTCGAACTACTATAAATCTTGTTTGCATTTCTCTTAACCCTATCTCTTTAATTTCCACACTTTAATTTGATAGTTGACATTGATTGAATTGATTCTTGGTGACAAGTTTATTGAACATGTTATATTGTATTAGATTGATTCATCTTGTGCACACCAAGTGTTTGTGTTATTGCATTAGCTTGCATGATTCTTTGCACACCAAGTATTTGATAGTACCATGTTGAATTGATTGTCTATTTTTGTTCTAATCTTCGAATAATGGTATAAATTCTAGAAAAGCATTTAAAACCCAATTCATTGCCCTCTTGGGTAGCCTTACTTGGGACAACACATGCCCAAAAAATGTGATTTTATTGAAATAATATGAATAATTACAAGAAAATGACTGGTTTACCAGACGACATAGTTGATCAATTGACACTAAAATGCTTAAAACCTCATTAAAATTTCATGTCGTAGGCCTGGGCCTTGGCCGTGCCAAGGCCTTCACGTGCCTGGTCTGCTGGCCTCAAACATGAGACCCAACCCAGGTCCTTCTAGCGTGCTAGGCCAACCCAGCCAGCCCAATTGACACCCTTACCACATTGGCTTAGTTTGGTAGTGCTGTAGAGTTTAGAAAAATTACTTTTAGCCGTGCTGAAGGAAGAAACAGCTGTTACAAAAAACAACTGAGTGTTTGGTAAACTATAATTATAGTAGCTGTGCTGATTCAAAAATCAGTGTAATAATGTTTAATAAATTATGATGTTAAATTGTTGTGGATAATTAAAAATTATGACTATATTATATTATAATATATAATATATAATTACAATATAATATATATTCATTATTATATTATATTAAACAAATAAATTATAATTAATATATTATATAACCATAATGTGTGTAATACACTATAACAATAATAATATTAGAATTATAAGATTATATGAATATTTAATTATATTATTATTAATATAATAAATATAATTATACCAATACATAATAATATTATTGTAATATTATTATTATTATTATAATAAATATAATTATATCACTACAATATAATATATAATTACAATATCGTATTATAATTATAATATCATATTATAATTATATTATAATTATAATATCATATTATTAAAATAATTATAATATTATTATAATATCATATTATATGATAAAATAATAATATTAGAGTTATTAATATA